GGCTTTTCTGCACTGTTTTGCCAGTTCGGACGTTTGCTTGTGGTTGCCTGAGGCACGTGCCACGCCACGTTGGCGAATAAGTTCAAGAGTGTTCGAAGAAAGACGGTTTTTTGTGGTTATCTCTCTCTTGGCATTCCTTGCACAATCATGGAGGTGCTGAATCATTCGATCGTATTCCTCATCAATGTTGTCAATGACGGCATCTTCCCATGTTGCTGCAACAGAGCCAAAGAGTTCCCAGTTGGTGGTTGTTCTGGGAGTCTTCTTCTTAAACCTTGCATTCTTTTCTCCTCGTTCTGTGAGGTAGAATTTTGCACGAAGAAGACGGTGGTCTGATCCCGTTTGGAATTTTGGGACAACAGCAACATCGGTTAGGCAAAACCGCCGATTGAATATGATGTGGTCTATTTCATTGTGGAACCGTCCATCGGGAGACTCCCATGTCCAACGTTTAGATTCAGCCTTTTGGAATTGTGAGTTACCATGGAAGGTTTTGGTTGACATGATGAACTCAGACAGTCTGTCACCTTGTTCGTTCCATTCCAGGCCATGGGTTCCGATGTGGAGTTCATCGACTGATCTTCTTGGTCATTACTTTAACTAATATATTCAGATTATAGAAAGTGGTCTCTAATAAATATTAAAAGCATAATAAAGTTATAATTAAACCTAATAAGTTTACCATATGAAGTTTTTTTTTTAATCTTTAGTTTATCTATCTGCTTCTGTAGCTTCAATTGAGTGGTATTGACCTCCCTAGGGACACTTTTTGATTTTAGATAAATTGAAATTTTAGTTTGGGCTCTGTTTTAACTTTGAGTAATTTATTGAAATTCTTGATTTTTATTTTATTTCATTCATCAATTACATTTACAGGTAGTAGCCCCAACGTATAATTTGGTGTGGAATTCAAAGACATCACTTCACTTAATCACTTAACTTCCCATTAGTCGTCGATTTGCTCGAGCGGGTGCCAGTAATGTCTCCATTTGTCCCTGTCGTGTGCTAGTGTAGCCCAATGGCATATGTTCGCTCCGGGAACATGAAGGGCCTCAAACCGATCGTTCATGATCTTCACGAAGAAGTCTGACCATCTGGTAGGTGGGCGGCCACGCGGTCTTTTGACATCCCGTGGAATCCAGTCAGTAACAGCTCTAGTCCAGCGGTCGTCTTTAAATCTCATTACGTGACCAGTCCATCTGATTTTCGACACCTTGGCAAATGAGACAGCGTCCCTGATTCTTGATCGTTGATGGATGTCAGAACTCCGGATTCTTTCTCTCATTTGAGTGAAATGTGATATTCTAAGCATAGCTCTTTCTATTCTTCTTTGGGAGACCTGAATAGCATTCTCATCTTGTCTGCGTAGGGCCCAGGTCTCTGAGGCATATGTTAATGCAGGAAGAACAGTGGAATCAAAGAGATGTGCCCGGAGCCGGAGGTTCTTCGTCCTCTTAGCAATTTCTTTGACGTTCTTGAAGGCGTTCCAAGCTGCTCTCTTCCTCCTGTGCAGCTTGGGTGCCAGGTCATTTGTCATGTTGACCTCTCGACCTAGGTACACATAGCTGTTGCATTCGGAGATGATCGTTCCATTGAGAGCGAATGGGGCGTCAGGAACGAGGCTGTTTCTCATAAACATTGTCTTTGTAAGATTCAGCTGTAGTCCGACCTTTCCACACTCATGGTCAAAGTCTGTCAGCATTTGTGCCGCTTGGCTGATGTTTGGTGTTATTAAAACAATGTCATCAGCAAAGCGGAGGTGGTGTAGTTGCCGACCATCTATCTTCACTCCCATTCCTTCCCATTCTAGTCGTCGCATGATGTTCTCGAGGGTGGCACTGAAGAGTTTTGGTGAAATGGTATCACCCTGCCGCACCTGTCTCTTGACATCAATGATCACTTCTTTGTAGAATGGTGAGATCCTGGTAGTGAATCCGCAATACAGCTCATGGAGGATCCTGATGTATTGGGCTTGAATGCCCTGATTGGTTAGGGCTTCAATGACTGCTTCCGTCTCAACAGAACTCATCAGTACTCATCAAAGTTATAATTTAGAAAAAATAATTTAGAAAAAAATGCATGAAGGTAAATAATAACTTTGTTCAATTTTGTATATTTACCCCTATTAAACAGGCTAATAATTTTTTAAATTAAAATTTTATAACATCACACATGAAAGTTATTTTAGGAAGTAATTTTGGATGGAGAATGAGCTTATACTAATTGGTAAGGATCACCACTGTTAATGAAGATATTAAACCTTTTATCATATATCTTGTGATCTTTTTTCTGAATCCTCATTTGGCATGGACCACCAATGAAAGATGAGTAAAATAGACTTAAACCATATATCAATTATAAGTACTTATTTTCTAATCTAGTACAAGGCACTCAATAGTACTCAAATTATGTGGTATTTAGTATAAAAAAGATAAATTTATGAACACATAAATTTACACTGAGAAGACATGTATTTCAATGTGAAGTACACTAGATCATCACCAGATGTGCACTGGGTCAAAAATATCAGAAAATATGTATGGTGTGTTCTATACGAGTTTTCATATAATATACTATTCATAAATTAGTAAGGGTATATTTAATATTTAAATGCTAAAATATATGGGGAGTTCATATCATAAATAAGAAAAATTATTTTAACTGCAGAGGCTTATGAATTATATTGGTACCATGGATTTTTAATAATAAATTCCCTTTTGAACAATTTTATAGTGGGGAAATGTGAGTTAAAAAAAGATTTTATCCTCTACTCTAGCTTTGCTTCTTGATATCTTCAACATCTAAAATGTATCATTTACTACTGGAAAAATACGGTCCATATTAATTATTACAGACACAGAAGCCCACCATATTTTCTTGTCCATTTCTGTAATTATATATTAATGAATGTTCTCGGTTTATATTCTCCTTTCAATCTTTGGAAGTTTATGTTGGAGCAACAAATATAACAAGTTCGACATGCAGTGTAATATGTAGAAAAATTAATTTTACCAGGAAACAATTCTAAATTCTATGTGTTAGTTTATATCATCTTCAAGAGTGATTTACCTGTAACATTGGCACAATACTTAATATTTAAAAAATAAAATGCTACATATGCAAGCAATTTACTAGAAACAGGGTGTTGTACATAGCATCCTTAAGTATGTACCACATGCTTAACTGGTGCAGACATTTTACAAAATCAAGTTCTTAACACTAAAAAAATCTTGGTGTCCAGAAGCAATCTTAGAAGCATCACTCTGCTCAGGAGCTCTCGCACCTGACTGCATGGCAATCAAAAAGGTATGAATGTCTTTAGATATCATAACTGCATCACTTCAATAAACAAGTACCAAGTGTTTTTTTTTTATTTATCATGATCTCGATTTAACTTGATTTGCAGATGTAAAGGTAACTTTAGCTATAGTACCTAAATTATTTTTTGCTTAAAAGTACTTCAGGTTAAGGGGATGAAGGAGTGTGGCATCCATGTCTCACAGGGTGTGAGTCCTTGAAATCAATCCCTGACACAACCAGTAATCAAAAGAAATACTCTACCACCCAAAATGGTGTTTACTGTTTTGAACATACAGATCTATTTGATGCTTCTATATTCAAGAGTAATTTAGAATCTCAGATATTTTTACTTAGGAAAATGAAAAATACAGCCAATTTAATATGATCTGTAATACTGCAAGCTTCTTGCAATGATGGGTGAACTATACTGCACTTTTAATAATTTATGAAGTCACATAGCCATACTTCTGGAAGTGTTTGGTAATAATATGAAAGTTATGTTCAAAACAAATAAGAAGTCTGATCTATACAAGCTGGGATTTTAGTGTTAACAATTGTTATAAGGTATTTTCAGTGTCTGGGTAAAGCCTTTGGCTTGTTTTTAAGTTGTTTTTTTTTTTAGGGGACAGTAGGGAAATTATAGAGCTTAGAATAATGATCATATACTTACGACTTTTAGTAAGCTTTACTCAGATGTATTATTAATAGCAGTTACTCTCTGATCACCATTTTGTGTTGAGAAACATTCATATTTGCCCTATTTATAGACATATCAAATAGAATTCCAATCAACTACACTTTGATATCTCAATATGACAAAGAACCTGGGTTGAGTTCTGATTATTAGGAATTAGTAACTAAAATTCATTTAATATCATTAATAGATTTCAGTGTTTTAAATCATTTAGGATGTGTGGGGGAGTCAGGGGGAGTGGTGACAGGGGGAAGTCAGTTCATGTGTGGCTGTGCTCAGGGCTTACTCTTATTTCTGTGCTCAGGAATCACTCTGGACATTGATCTGAGACCATACAGAGTAATCATTATAGCATATTCCTAGCCACTCATTAAAGATTTTAAGCTAATTTACATGTTAGATCAAGACATCGTGAAAAATATTTTGTGGGTTCTATTCTCTAGCAATAGTGTATTCTGAAAATAAGAATAAAATGTAGCACGTGCTCAGAAATGATAGTTTTAGTTTTATTTTTTCAATTTTAATTTACCTATGCCAATTTTAGAGGCATTGGCTTTAAACTTATTCCCCTTATTTTCTCCCATATTTTTACCTTTAATATCCAAACTGTAATGGAATATCAAACATATTTATGTTTGTTCGAATGTTTTTTTAATAAAAGGAAGTAACAATGATAATCTTTTTGTTTATTTTTGAATCACACATGACAGTGCTCAGGGCTTACTCCATGACTTGTGCTCAGGAATTAATCTTGGTGGTGCTAGGCAATCATAAGGGATTCTGGGACTGAACCCAGGTTACTGTTCTGCAAAGGAAACTCCAAACCTACTGTACTAACATTCTGGGCCCTGGCCACATAACTTTTAAAAACAACATATTTAAAATTTGCTACTAAGGAAAACTACATTTCCATTCTTAATTATGACTCATTTCAACAACAAAATGTCCTTTTCTAACAGTTTCACAATTACAAACACTCCTAAGTACATCATTAACACTGGAAGTGAAAGATATAATTCTTTTAAATATCAGTTTCTCTTTCTGAGGAAATAATTGCAGTTTTCTTAGTTTTGGCATGTTTTAAAGAGTCAGATAGGTTTGTTTCATTGTTATTAAATTTCTTCTTTGACGGTTTCAGTTCATTTTCCTGTTTGATCAATCTATAGTTTATAGCATTGCCAATAAGCAGCCACACACTTGCTATGACCACAATAACTCCACAGGTGATATACATGTATGTATAACTTCTAGTGTAATCCACCAATTTACCTAAAAGAAAGACACATTTTAAAATACTATAATAAAATAGTCATTAAACAATAAAATTTTTAAATACATTGTTTGCTAAAAGGGAATACTAATTTCTCAATTGCATCAACAGTAAATGAGATTTTAATGAATATTCTAGGCTACTGCTTTCAAAATGCATAGAAATGCAAGTGTAAACTCATACATTCTCACTATATTACTAAATTGAAAATGATTTCCCACAGTAACAGTGCATAACCAAGATAAATCAGTATACATGAGTTTATGTATATATTTATAATACATGTAAGTATATTACGTACAAGTAGAAACGAGTATACTTTTCTATCTATACATTAAGTCGTACATATTAAAACTTTCATCCATTCATATTTTCTATTTTTTCAATAAAGAGAAGGAAATTATATTCTTCAGGAAACACTCAAAGGCTTTTACAAGTTTTTCTTACTAAATACATTTACATTTCATGTTTTGTTTATGCTGATATTTAAAAATTAGGATAAACTTAAGTATATATGAACTTTAGTGTACACTTCATATGAATATTCCTTATGATTCTTATATATGATAAATTAATTTGTATAGTCAGAATTTCTCACATTCTGACTAGATTTAGTCAGTAACTTAGTTTAGGTTTCACTGCCTATAAATTATTTATTTGAATATAGTGTTCTTGTTCCTCCTTTTGACTGAGAAACAGTACTGTAGCACTATCCTCCCGTTGTGCGTTGATTTGCTTGAGCGGGCCAGTAACATCTCCATTGTGAGAACTTTGTTGCTACTGTGTTTGGCATATCGAATACATCACGGGTAGCTTGCCAGGCTTTGCCGTGTGGACAAGATACTCGTGATTTATAATATTTTCAATCATAGTTTCATGAATCTATCATTACAACAGCACACCCGCTCCTTCAGAGTGACCATTCTCCTCAAGGGCTCTCCTTTCCACTCTTCTCCACACTATATTAAGTCAGTTCTTCAATTAACTTTCCAGTTATATTGTTCTGGCATTTGTTGTTTCCTTACTGTTAATCTTTATATTCCACATAAAAGAGAGATCATTCTGTACCTATCTCATTCCTTTTCCATCTGACCACAGAGACAAAACCAACAAAACCAACAAAAAATTTAAATGATGTAACTGCATATATGTTAAACATAAGTATATTTACATATGCTTGGGGGCTATGGCTCTTTGCTCTAGTATCACACCTAGAGGTGTTGGGGAACCATAATTGGTGCCAGGCATCTAAGTAAGGTCATCTGCATGCAAGATAAGGGCCTTAATATTCACTACTACTACTCTCTCTCTCTCTCTCTCTCTCTCTCTCTCTGGCCAAAATGTTCTATTATTTAGGGGAAGGAGGAGGGATCAAGCCATGGGACTCATACAATGGATGTATGAGCTCTACCATAGAATTGTATCTATGGAAAAATTTCAATTTAACCAGGTAAAAGATGTACTGAATATGATATGGGGCTGGAGCAATAGCACAGCGGTAGGGCGTTTGCCTTGTGTGCAGCCAGCCTGGCTGAGCCTGGTTCGATTCCTCCGTGCCTCTTGGAGAGCCTGGCAACCGACTGAGACTATCTTGCCCCCATGGCAAAGCCTGGCAAGCTACTTGTGATGTATTCAATATGCCAAACACAGTAACAACAAGTCTCACGATGGAGACGTTACTTGGCCCGCTTGAGCAAATTGATGAACAACGGGAGGACGGTGACAGTGACAGTGAATGTGACATATACATAAACATAAATATTTCATAATAGAACTTTCACACTTTTGTGAATATTGTGAAAAATTTTATTAATACAGCTTCTCAAAACAGGTTGGAGTAGTGAAATTAAGTTCCTTTATTTTATCCTAAAAACTTTATCCGTTATGTATTGATTTTTTAAAACTTTTACACACTGGTTACAGTAAATTTTCTCTTTTATTTATTTTTTTTTCTTTTTGGGTCACACCTGGCGATGCTCAGGGGTTACTCCTGGCTCCTGCACTCAGGAATTGCTCCTGGCGGTGCTCAGAGGACCATATGGGGTGCTGGGAATCTAACCTGTGTTGGTCATGTTGGCTGCATGCAAGGCAAATGCCCTACCCACTGTGCTATCACTCCAGCCCCCCAAATTTTCTCTTTTAATCTAAGAATTTTGTTGCTAATATACAAACAAACACTGTCCTCCCGTTGTTCATCGATTTACTCGAGCAGGCCCAATAATGTCTCCACTTTGAGACTTGTTATTACTGTGTTTGGCATATCGAATACCTCAGGGGTAGCTTGCGAGGCTTTGCCGTATGGTCAAGATACTCTTGGTAGCTTGCTGGGCTCTCCAAGAGGCGCGGAGGAATTGAACCCAGCTTGGCCGGGCCAGCTGCGCTCAAGGCAAACGCCCTACAGCTGTGCTATTACTCCTGACTCTAAATTTCATTTGCTAAAACTAATTCTGATAAAAAGACAAGCAACATTTGTTTGTCTTATGAGAAGTTAATTAGCTGTCAAATAAGAACTATTGGTTTTTATGCAACTTGACAATTGTTTTGCTGTCATTGTATATGCATATTGACAGAAATAAACCAAGTAAACCCCTGCGTTAGATACCACAGGATGACCCTGGTGGGCAGGAAAAAGTCAGCAGTTATATCACTTGTTCTTGATTAAGAAAAAAGTGGAAGGCAAATTGTCAATAATTCCTCAAGACAGACATACATGAATCTTTATAGTTTGAAAATAGTTCATTAATATCATATAAGAATTACTTTAATTCTAAATACATGGAAAAATTCATGTTTAGCCTGGCAATTACTCTGACCTTACGAAGGAAGGCCAACTCTATAAGTAAATTGAATGCCAAGATTCAGAATTAAAAAAAAAAATTACACCGTGGTTTCTGGCAAAGACTGGCCCAAAAAGATATTTTTCATATTTATTTTATTTATTTATTTTGCTTTTTGGGTCACACCCGGCGATGCACAGGGGATACTCCTGGCTCTGCACTCAAGAATTACCCCTGGCGGTGCTCAGGGGACTATATGGTATGCTGGGAGTCAAACCCGGGTTGGCCATGTGCAAGGCAAACGCCCTACCTGCAGTACTATCACTCCTGCCTCAGTAAGGTAAAGGCCCTCCCGTTGATCGTCGATTTGCTCGAGCGGGCCCAGTAACGTCTCCATTGGAGACTTTGTTGTTACTGTGTCTGGCATATCGAATACTCTCGGTAGCGGAGGAATCGAACTCGAGTTGGCCATGTTGGCCGCTTGTAAGACGAACGCCCTACCCGCTGTGCTATCGCTCCAGCCCCCTGCCTCAGTATTTTTAATATTATTTTTAATATTTATAAGATTAGTGTCAAGGAGATAGTTGAGGGTTCAGAGGCACATACCTTGTATGGCAAGGCTCTGTGTTTGATCCAATGCACCACACAAGTTCCCTCCTACCTCTACTCCTAGCACAACTAGTATAGCTCTGATAGTCTGATCACTAGTAGTTATGGCTTTGGAAGCCCACAGTTCTGCTGGATCTGATAAGCACCACAATAAGTCAAACATTGAACCATCTGGTTCAGTCAGCTAAATACTGCTAAGGCTGGGTCCTGAATCTCCTGAGCACAACCTCGGAGAGGACCCCTTTCAAGTAACTAATACATACATGTACCTTAGATTACTTATTGTGTGATTTATTACAAATAGGCATTAGTGAAAATATTTCATTTGTGTATTTTTCTCTTCATGCATATTTGGTGGTGCCACGGTTTAAATCCAAGTATGCATGTAAGGCAAATACTCTACTGCTGAGCCATATCCTCTGTCTGAAATTATTTCAGATCTGAAATTTTAAAAGCAATATTTAATATGAAAAAATATGAAATTTTGTCATCAAAATTATCTTGAGTAAACTTCCTTCATTACTGACTGTCTACAAACATAATATATTTTTATATAGACTATATATTTATATATTCTTATTATGAAAATATTTCTTCCTTAGGTATTAAACAAGGTTCTTATTAATAGAATATTCCAAAAAGAAAATGAAATTCTGACTTTTGGAAATCATGTTTAAATTTTTTTATTTTTTCCATGTTTTAAATTTTGAAATATTTTAATTTAAAAAGAATTCTGTCACCATTAGTACATTTAAAAATCATTATTTAATTTTTATGATAAATTTATAAAAGCATAAGACAACTAGCATGGGTAAGACCTGAAAATATGCAACTAATTATCAGTGTAACTTCAATTCTAACAATATCCAAGTTCTGAGACAAATTTACATCTAAAACAAATTGATTGTGTAATTTAAAATTAAATCTTAGGTTCAGAGAGACCTATGGCACGTAAGCTACATGCCCAGATTTGATACACGGGACCCAGATTTGATCCTTGGTGCCAAATGTGGTACCCCAAAGCCCATCTAGGAGTTATTCCTGAGAAGAGAGCCAGGAGTAAGCCCTAAGCACCACTGGGTGTGGTCCAAAAGCCAAAAAATAAGTAAATAAAATAATAAAGGATCATATGCCTTAGATTTCATGTTCCTACAGTCCTTCAGATTGTAAGTATTTATTATTATGAACCACAACATTCAACAGAAAGAAAGCCTGAGTTAATAGATATTAATATTAAGCTTTTTAATTTTCTTCATGACAACTATTCTTACCAGCAAGGGGAGGACCAAGAAGAACTGGGCAGCATTCGACGATTGTGACGAGTCCCACAGCACTAGAATACTTTGAGGCACCAACAAGATCAATGAGAGTTTCAAAAAGGACACTGCTAACACTCCCAAATCCAAGGCCAAAAAATACAGCATAAACCAACATACTAGTATAGGTTTGTGCCAGTGGAAATAAGAGATGACACACTCCAGTAAACATGACTGCAAAACCGAAGAAGTACTGGATTTGAGGTCGGATATATTTAGTGTTTGCAATTAATCCTGCAGAAGGCCTAGCAAACATATCAACAAAAGCCAAAACGGATAGTAAAAAAGCTGCAGAATACTCATCTATTCCCTTATCTTTAGCATATAAAGTCAAAAATAAAATTGGGGCAAAAAAGCCCAGAAACATGATGACATTGCCAGATAAGTAAGTTAAAAAACCCCTATGTTTAAAAAGAGAGAAATCTAAACTGTTATTCATTGATTCACTTATTGATGTTTTGGGGCGTCTTGACTTTACGTTTTCCTGTTTATTTTTTCCTTTAATTTTATTTTTAGCACTGAAAGAGATTTCGTGATGGTCAAGTGGTCTCATGAGTGATCCAGACACACAGGTATTCAACAATAAACCTCCCAAAATCAGAAAGCTTCCTTTCCAGCCATAATTATTCAAAAGGTACTGACTTAAAGGGGCCAATGTACTTAAAATAACAGGGCTTCCTGCCATGGCCAATCCATTTGCTAAAGGGCGTTTCTTGTAGAAATATCTACCAATTATTGCTAAGGCTGGTTGTAGGTTGAAGGCCAAACCTATACCTAAAAACAAACAAAAAGAAAAAAATACGTAATGTTATTCAAAAAGAAATTATCCTTCAACATGTACCATTAAGGCAGAACTAATAATACAATGGCAGGAAGTAACTTTTGATAATTATAAGTATCAACAGAATGGAATTTAACATAAAAACAATTTCACAACCTGACAATTGATATCTATAACTGTCTCCTACGACTTTCATTTTAAAGCACATGCACAGAAACCAATACATTTTACTGGTTCACTAAATACAGCATAGGTTGAAACTAGGCCATAATTATAAGTTCTTAATCATAATCATGTAATTCTACAGATAAATTAATTTCTCTATCTACTTACACATATATAAAGTACTGTTTTTTTTTCTTATGAGCAAGAGAGTATTTAAAATGTGAATACTCTCCTTTCAGAGTTAAAGCAGTGCAAATAGACTAAAAATGTTGCATTTATAAATAATTCTACACCTCCCAGGAAATCTTCTTTCAAAACGCTGCAAATAATAAAAAATGAATCATACATTTATGCCATGCTTTCATGCTCCACATCCTCACATTTCATAAATATAAACATGTATATTAACTAAATAATAAATAGCATTTTTTCACTTGAAAGTCACATTTGGGGGATTAAAGCTGATTATATATGAATTTCAAGTTCCTACTATCTACCCATCTCCTTGGCTCTATGAAAGACTGACTTTAATAAATAAATTACTTGAACGGAGAGATAGTAGAAAGGCTAAAGCACGTGTATGATTTGAGTTCAAATCCTCAGCACTGCATATGGTCCCCTGAGCACTACCAGAAGTGATCCCTGAGCACAGAGCCAGGAATAATCCCGGAGCAGAGCCAGATCTGCACGTTCAAAAAAATAATACTTGTTAGGTCTCACCTAAGTATTGTTTAGCAGTAGTAATGAGTGAGTTTGTTTTATCAGCACATGAAATTAGGGCCAGGAAGAAAGCTCAAATGTCTGGAATGTTAACCTTGCAAACACTGAATTCATGAGACTCTGACTGGGATCTGTCAGCACTGTAAGCATCCTTCCTCTCCCAGGAAACTCTGAGACAGTCCTGGAAATCCCAAGAACCGCTGAGATGGCTCTGGTTGTCTCCAACAGCACTAAGCCAAAACATTACCTGATTGTCACACCTTAACAATGAATCATTAGACCTGCACTCAAAACTAGTATTCCACCAAAGTGGTCTTTGGGCCCCTGGACCTAACACATCTCTAGACAGTTACCTCCCCAAACAAATAAAACAAAAATTACACAAAGTCAATCTGTATAAATTACCTCTCCTTTGTTCTTAGGCTTTTTCTTCTATTATTTTAGGAGTTATAGAAGAAATAATTCTGCATTAATTCATATATATTAAAAACATACAACAAAGCAATGATCAGATGTTGGATATTCAGCTCTCAATCTAAACACGTATTCTAACCTTTAATACAAATGTATTTTTATGTGTAGAAAGGTCCCTAAGAGGGATTAAAGAAACAAAGAACAGGATTTGGAGAGAAATTTGGACATAACTAGGCTCTCTAATTTTGCTTCAGCTTTAACTTTGAGAAGAGAGTCGATTAGATCAATATTATAAAAATACTCATTAGTTTATGGTTAAGTGACTTGTAGTTAGTCAGAGGGATTCAAATTAAAGCCAGGTAGTAGTGTAATAAAATCTAAATGTCTTTATCTTATATCATTTCCTGTCCTTCTCTTCTTCCCAACTGTCACCTATAATTTGCCTTCAGGTGTTAATTCAAAACTTCCCTTGTAATAGTTGCCATTTATTTCCTATCATGAAATACTAAAATAATATGAAATGTGACACCAAATTATTTCACTTTTCCTTAACTACTTATTTATGTGTCCTACTAGGCATACCTATTTTGATTTCTTGAGTGTCAATCCCCTCAAGTGCAACACAATAATTTTGCTATACCAAGCTAGTTCTAGAACTATAAGATGTTATGCAATGAATCTGTAATAACAATTTGCTAATGCTCATTTTAAAGGTAAAGGTAAAGGCCCTCCCGTTGATTGTGGATTTGCTCGAGCGCGCCCAGTAATGTCTCCATTGGAGACTTTGTTGTTACTGTGTCTGGCATATCGAATACTCTCGGTAGCTTGCCGGGCTCTCCGAGAGGGGCGGAGGAATCGAACTCGGGTTGGCCATGTTGGCCGCGTATAAGGCGAACGCCCTACCCGCTGTGCTATCGCTCCAGCCCTGGGCGATCTGGCTGCGACATCTGTCACCCCATTGATCGCCAGGGTTGATTCGGCTGATCTGGCTGGCTAGGCAGGTGTCCCCTTCCTCCCTCACCGCTCCATGTGCGTCCCTCCTGAAGCTGCGCGCTCGGTCGAAGAGGAAGGCCTTCCCCGATAGAGATGGACCGGTTGAGGGTATACGAGTAGCTGCTCTCCCCTGCTAGAACTTCCAAACAAGCTCATTTTAAAGTTGAAAAAAATTCTGAGTATACAGTATATACTCATTTTTAACATTTATCATTCTTACAATTGTCAAATGAAGAAGGTAAGATTTCCCTCAGTGTTTAAAACAAAGAGATGGAAACATGGGATGTTAATTTGCCCATGACCATACAGACAATATGAATCAGGTTTTAAAATGAGAATATTTGGCTGATCATGGTTTAAGATACATCTCTGATAATTACTTTAATAGTCTATGGAATCTCAGTCTCTTCAAAATTCAGGAAATAAATTTAAGGTTAGCACAGCATATCATATTTTTGATATCTGTGTTACAATAATATCAAAATTATATTTTACCTAATACACTATAATCAGAGGCATAGTTTACATAATTTACTCCTACATAGTTTACTCCTACAGTCAAATGTAATATTTAATGTGTTTGTAAAAGTAAAAGGGAATACTTGTCACCATAAAAAATTATTAATATAAGAAAGTTCCCATTTGCAATATCACAGTTTTGTCATAACAAAAAGATTTTGAAGGCCATGTAGGCCTAGAATTTCAATATTCTTCTCTGTAGATTTAGATTCAATATTTTTAGATTTTTTTGCAAACACTAGGCCTTGATTTTTCCCCTTACCTCCCCATTAATCTTACCCCTTTTTAAAAGCAAAAATCTAGACTAATCTAAATCAACATTAAAAAAGGATATGTTTCCCTCTATTTTTCTTCCTGGGTCTGGAGCCATAACACAGTCATAGGTCATTTGCCTTGCGTGCAGCCAGCCAGGCCGGGGCGATTTCGGTTCCTCCACCCCTCTTGGTGAGCCTGGCAAGCTACTGAGAGTATCTTAACCACAGGGCAAAGCCTGGCAAGCTACCTGTGACGTATTTGATATGCCAAACACAGAAACAACAAGTCTCACAATGGAGACATTACTGAGCCCACTCGAACATATCAATGAACAATGGGAGGACAGTGCTACAATGTTTGTTATCTGTAAAGTGCCCAGGGGTAAGTATTAATAAATAGAAATAGAGAGGAACTGCATCATTATTTAATGGATCTATGCCAAACACAGTAACAAAAAGTCTCAAAATGGAGATGTTACTGGACTCACTCGAGCAGAATCGATGAATAATGGGAGGACAGTGTTTTTTTTTTTTTGTATTTTCCTTCCTATCTATGGGTATAAGGGGAAGAATAAATTCCTTTGTATATTAGAAATCTGTCTTCTTAAAACCTTGAATATAGTTATTTATTATATTTGTTTGTTTGTCTTTAGGACATACCTTGATATGCTCAGGGCTTACCCCAGGCTCTGTGTCTGTGATCACTCATGGAGGGTTCAAGGAACCATATGTGGTGCCAAAGATTAAACCCAGGTCAGCAGCATGCAAGGCGGTTGCCCTATCGTAGTACTATCTCTCTGGTCCAAATATAATTTTTAAAATGCATATAATTGAGACTAATAAAAGCAGGAGTTTTCAAATTATAATTTTGACCTCAAAATTATAGGTCACTTTGAGCCAATGGATATAAAGTAGGAAAAACAACTATACTCAAGTTATGCTCTATTAATCTAAATATTTTTGTTTAAGAGCAAATGTGTCTTACAGATACTTTTAAAAGAATCATTAAGTAGGGCCAAAGTACAGTGGGTACTGGATTTGCCTTGCATATGACTGACCTGGGTTTAATGTCTAGCATCTCATATGATACCCCGAGCATCTCCAGGAATGAATCCTGAGTGTATAGCCAAGAGTAACCCCTAAGCATCACTGATTGTGCTCCCCCCCAAAAAAGAATAATTTAATAAGATTAAGAAGGGATACAATAGAGCTTTACTGGTTATCAGGATGTAAACAGCAATAAAAATATTGCTAAAGTTAAAACAGTGCAAGAAGAAAACATCTTTTTAGCAATAAATTTAATTTATAAATAATAAGATATTCTAAACAGCAACAATAATGAAAAAATGAAGGTCTTATGTCCCACAAAGTCTATATCCATGATCCTATCTTAAATGGCTGAGAGTGAAGTGTGAAACAATTTCCTTTGCTTTCTCTTTGAAATTCATACCACAATATGTAATTTGCTTGATAATATTTGTCACACTTTTAAAAATGTTTGAGTTTTCCATAACTCATTTTTATGTACTAGAAAAATTTAAAATACTTTAATTCTTTAAGATACCAAAATATTTTAAGAAATTTCAATACATATAGATATGACCATTAAAAGGTAATTAAGAAAACAATGACACTTGTATGTTGTTTGTACTTATTTATTTATTTATTTATTTATTTTTGGAGGGTGCTGAGGGGGCTTGGACCATGACCAGCTGTGATCAGCACTTACTCCTGGCTCTGTTCTCTCAGCGAAACTTCTGGAGATGCAATACAAGTGCCTATTACTGTCTGTACTTTTTGAACTTTGTGAAAAACAGAAATGGTAAGAATAAAATATGTTCAAAATAAAAAATGTACTCACCTCCAATGAATCCAACAGTGATGTAAAGATGCAATATACTCTTACTAAAAGAGGCACTAATAAATCCAAAACAGCATAACAAACCTCCTGTCATTACCACTGGCCGGCTACCAAAATTATTCACCAAAATACTACTTATGGGACCTGCAGTAGAAAGAAAATGAACATTTAGTTACTAAGGCTATTTAGTTTATTTTTATTTTTAATATAACCATATTTAATGATTGCGTTGTTAGACCTTACACATAATGGTGACTTAAAAATACTATAAGTCGGGCTGGAGCGATAGCACAGCGAGTAGGGCGTTGACCTTGCATGCAGGCGACCCGGGTTCAAATCCCGGCATCCCATATGGTCCCCTGAGCACCTCCAGGAGTAACTCCTGAGTGCAGAGCCAGGAGTAACCCCTGAGCATCGCCGGGTTTGAACCCCCCCAAAAATACTATCAATCATGTATAAAAATATGGTCATGGTTTATGCAAACTTAAATTTGGTTGATATTTCTGTGTTTTTGTTAGACAATGACAATGTTCCATATTTCAGTCAACTTAGAGATCATTTAAAATATGAAGATGAAATCTGACTTTTGTATGAAAATATTCTGTTGACAAATTCTGATAAGGGTAAGAAATCTGTATCTAACTTATCTAACTTACAGAATGGTTGTCAAAATTTGGATCTACAGAAAAGGTGGTTTTCTCACTTAACTTATGCAAAGTCACCAGCAAGGATGTGAAAGATGAACACAGAGGTCTATGACTAAGACAGTAATATAGAAGAGCAAAACACAGAAGAGAAGTTTGTTTGGGAATCTCTTGCCCAATTAACCTAGCATTTTCTACTTAAGTGTATGTATAAAATATTCAGAAAGGAAGGGGGAGACAGAGAGGTATATATATATTAGGAAAAATGGTCAAGCATAAGATGAAGGATATAAAAAACTTTTTAGTGGTAAACAATGCTTCTATGAGCATGTAAATTTATATAACTGAAACTCATAAAATGTTATGATGAAATATTAACATACAAACAACCTAAATACCAGTTGAATCTATACACTCAGAGTAGAAATATACTTACCAGGATCTCGGGACAAGGATAAATGGCAAAATTGGTCACAGTGTACAAAAAAATTCACTAAATTATTACATTTATCATTCCATACAAAGGTACTTTTAGTTATTATATAAAAAGAGAAAGTGCAGGGGCGGGAGAGATAGCACAGCAGGTAGGGTGTTTGCCTTGCACGCGGCCAACCCGGGTTCAACTCCCAGCATCCCATATGGTCCCCTGAGCACCGCCAAGAGTAACTCCGGGTGTGACTCAAAAAGAAAAAAAAAAAGAGAAAGTGCGTTTTATTTTAATATAACATTTTTACTGATGTAAGTTTAAATAGCAGGGCAAATAAATAATTGAGGAATTGCAGTTTAATAAATGTCTATATAATTTTGAGACCTGTAAATATATAAATGGTTTGCTTTGATATTTCCTTCTTAAATTATATATGGCAGTTTTAAAAATGCATTGATAATCAATAATATCTGTGACCGTGAATATTCTATATACTATCACAAAAGTGCATTTATTTTTGTTCTCCAAATATAATTCTCAAATGATCACGATCACGACCATCCTGTTGTTCGTCGATTGCCTCGAGCAGGCCCCAGTAACGTCTCCTTCATCCTAGCCCTGAGATTTTTTTTAAAAGTACCATATTCAAGGCTCTTTCAGGGTTAGGAGAATGAGACCCATCATTGTTACTGGTATTTGGCATATTGGGTATGCCACGGGGAGTTTGCCTGACTCTGCCGTGTTGGCAGGTTACATTCAGTAGCCTGCCAATTTGTCTAAAGTAAGAATGAGATAATAAGATGTCATGCAGCCGCAAATGCTGCCCTGGAGAGGACAGCCAGGCACGGGGGCAGGAGACTCTGCTCTCTTCTCTTCCGGAAGCTGGGTTTTATAGTCTCTGAGTCTTGGCCGTTGATGGGATTACACAGTGCCAGGGGGCCAGTTGGTGGGTGTGACTCCTGCCTACTGGAAGATGGAGGATCTGGGTGGAGGATGCTCAGCCCCTATCCAAGTAGGCTTGGAGATCTCAGCCCCAGGACCCGCATGCCTTTGTTCCTCTGCCAGTACTTTCATGCATGTGGAGAATGCTCTCAGCATGGTGGTGGCTGGTTCTGGAGGTCTTCAGTTGCGGGAGCCCTGGTCAGGATGGGGAGGGAAACGCAACCCGCTCTCCTCCAAGGGGAGGACAGCTGGCGAGGACAGCCAGGCATGGGGACAGGAGACTCTGCAGTCTCAAATGAAGCCAGTAAGAAACATTATTTAATGTTCCATAATTATTTAAAAGGATTTTGGTAATATTTTAAGCAAACAATAACTACAAAATAGATTATAATATTTTGATTTAATATCAGAAATTTTTGAAAAGGGCAATATAAAAATAAATGTACGAACAACACATAAAGGTAGTTAAAATGTTGATAAGAAAAATGTAGCACTCAATCCCTTATATGAAAAAACTCTTCTGAAGAAGATTTATATATAAACATATAATATACATAACATAATATATAATATTAGCACTGTAGCACTGTCCTCCTGTTATTCATCGATTTGCTCGAGTGGGCCCAGTAATGACTCCATCATGAGACTTATTGTTACCGTGTTTGACATGTCAAATACATCATGGGTAGCTTGCCAGGCTTTGCCGTGCAGGCAAGATACTCTCAGTAGCTTGCTGGGCACTCTGAGAGGGGTGGAGGAATCGAACTCGGGTTGGCCATTGGCCGCATGCAAGGCAAAACGCCCTACCCACTGTGCTATCACTCCAGCCCATATATAACATTATATAGATTATATACAATATTATTTAGTGTCTATTATATTGAATATTACAGTGTTATTATTATACATAATATGTTATTATATAGTGAATATTATATGAGACCCATAAAGGGTTCATTTCCTGGCACCACATATGGTCTCCCAGGATTTGATGGCAAGTTCCACCAGGAATTATCCTTGAGCACAGACCCAGGAGTAATCCTTGAGCACAGCTAGGTGTCTGGCTCAAAACTCAAAAAAAGAAAAAACAGCATGTATTTAAATTCAAATATTATCTGTAAGAAAGGTACAGAATAAATTAACTAATCACTAATATTATATTCAGACATTTCAGACAACTCTATGAGATTTTTGTAATTTTCTTGTTGTTTGTGGAGAACAAGTCAGGGCTTTCAGGTTTGCTGCCAGGCCAGGTGATGCTAAGGATTGAAATCAGGGTTTCCCCACATGTGTGAGGTATATTTTGCATGGCATCAACTATATCCCAAGCCTATTTCCTTTTCTTGAATTACTTGACCAAGGAAAGTAGTACAGATATTAAAGAGCATGCATAACATGTGGATAGTCCCAGTTTGATCCCTGAACCAAACAGCCCTTTGAGGATCTCAGGATGCAGCAAGTCATATTAGCTAGTCATTGTGGCAGTAGTAATACTCTGCACTGCAGAGACCAAACTAAGGCTCAGGTTCTTACACTGAAATGCAGTCCTGATTGGCTGTGAATTGTGGGAACAGGCTGTGGTCTCCAGATTACCACTTGGGAGGCTCCCCAACAAAAGAACTGAAAAATATTACCAATGCAGTTAAACTAAAATTTTAAGAATTTTTATGGGTATTATGATAAGTACTAGTTTATGAGAATGAACTCATAGGCATTTATCAATTACTTGCAATAACAACAATGGCTTTGTCGCTGTCACTGTCCTCCCATTGTTCATCAATTTTCTCAAATGTCTCCATTGTGAGACTTTGTTGTTACTGTGTTTGCATATCAAATATTCCACAAGTAGCTTTCCAGGCTTTGCAGTGCGGGTGAGATAGCTTATTGGGCTTTCTGAGAGGGGCAGAGGAACTGAACCCGGGTTGGCCATGTTAACTGCATACAAGGCAAACGCCCTACCCACTGTGCTATCGCTCCAGCCCTGCAACAATGGCTTTGTAGTATCATAAAATTATGCATATAATTTCCTATGTAGTTTCTAAAAAACAAATTGGTTAAAATCGATTACTATATTCTATAAATGTTAGAAAACTCTATTTCATTTAAACTTAGGCTATGTATCATAATTTAATTTAGAATATGTCAAATATTTGTATGTGTAGATTAGTATCATCAAATAAAGAAGATTTTTTTATTACTGTGATCAATTAAAGGTAGTCAAAAAGAAATAAAGAATAAAAGAAAGATGAAAGAAAGAAAGAAAGAAAGAAAGAAAGAAAGAAAGAAAGAAAGAAAGAAAGAGAGAAAGATCATACAATCTAAGATGGAATGAATAATTATGGTCACATCCAATAAGTGACCAGAAAAGTGACCAGGTTGTAATTCCAGAACAGTTGAATGATTTATTTGGGGAGGGGGTTTAGGTGGGGATAATGCAGAAGTGGAGTTTAGGTTGTTCCAGGCAGTGTTCAGGTGACCACTGGCGCCAGGGATTAAACTGAGTTCAGCTGAATTCAAGGAAAATGCTCTTTACGAACTTTATAGTCAAGAAAATAATTTTTTTAAGATTGAAGAGTCTGTTCCAAATTAGCATGAGTAACTCAAACCTAGACACTGAATATACGGGAATAAAGTTGTCTTCCTTGACTGAAATTGAGGGTGATAGAGTTTTTGATCATAACTGTTGTTCCAGCGAGATACATTCAACAGGACACATAGTATAATGAGTGAAATAAGACATGTAGGAAACTCAGACTTAGCACCGGAAAAAAGTACACTATCAGAGAACTTTATGGAAATGTCAGATAGTGGGAGATTAATCAGAGTTAATTGAGCAGAGTATCACATACTATTCAGAAAGAATGCTAACATTTTCAAGGTATATAAATAGAGTATAGCATTACATTTGTTCTCCAGAAGGGTGTTTTGATAAAAGTAGTAGGAATGAAAGAGAACAGAAACCGAGTGAAGTATGAAGTGCAATATAGGTAAGTCATTTACAGTTTGCATGCAACTTGATAATTGCCCCGGTTTCCTTTGCCAGAGCTGATCCAGATCAACAAAAAATGAAATTTTTGTCATTTGAATCTCTGGCATATTCCATCAATATTCAAGTTGCATTTAAAGTTTAT